GGCTTTGGAAGTTTAAACTAGAAAAGCAGTTGAGTGTTGCAAGTAGAGCTTAATGGGCTGTTCTAATAGGAGCCTAGAAGAAAGTAGTGCTGACAACAAAGTAGTTTCCAGAGTGAAATAAGGACTCAAGCAGCAACTGGGATATTTTGGCAAAGAATCTGGCTGCTCTCTGCCCACAGCCAGAGCTTGCCTGAGGTTAGACTGAAAAGCAGTGAACTAATTTTTTGGTGGAGGATATTTCAAGATAACCTAACATATAGAAACAGTGGCATGGCTATTAATGGTGGATATTATGCATCTCTACAGTGAAAAAGAGCAAAGGGGTAGAAAGAAATGCAGATGTACAGTTTGGATTGAAAAACAGTACTAGGAAGATTAATGTTGGAGCCAAGTCATGTGACGGAGAGGATCCATTTGATAAAGGAGATTAAAGTGATTAAGGAGAGGCCTAGAGATTTTCATTTAAACAACAGAAAGAGTCCCTCCAGGGCAACTAAGCCTCTAACTTGGGAAAGGAAAATGCTGGAGGGGCTTTCTACTAGAAAACCACAGCAGAGAAAAGCTAAGAATTTGGATAAACAGGCTGGGATCCATCCCAAACTTGCAGTCAAACTTGGCAGTCATTAACCTGGTGCTGGCTTTAGAAGCACAAAAGATGTTGGAGTGACGGGGTCATAAGTTCTTCCTCCAGTTTCAGAGAGCTACCGAGGCCAGGTAGTGTGCAGCAGGGGCATCCCTCCATAAAGAAGGCCATGCCAGGTTAAGAGGCCCTGATAGCCCATTGCATGAAGTTCTGAAGGTGAAGCCTGGTTGGCAGTGAAGACCTCAAGAAGACTAATTATTAGAGATGTCAGTACTGTGAAACATCAGCCAAGGAGAGATGCATACAGGGGGTGGTACTAGCAAAGCTGAAGAGGTTGAACCATCTAAGCCCTTTGGAAGTAAAGTCCCAGAAGTTGGACATGGAGCTACTGGTTTTGATGTTTGACCTGCCGGTGTTTGGTCTTGTTTTGATCTGCTATTTCTTCGCTATGTCCATTTTCTCCCTTTTGGAATGGGAATGTGTATTTACTTCTACTCTATGTTGGAGGTAAATAATTTGTCTTTTGATTTTACAGGGACTTACAGTTAAGAGATTACCTTAAGTCTCAGAAGAAATTTTGGACTGTGGACTTTTGAGTAGTATTGAGACTGGTAAAGACTATGGGGATTTTTAAAGGTAGACTAAATGCATTTTGCATTTTATATGGTCATAAGCTTCTGGGGGCCAGGGAGTAGAATGTGGTGGTTTGAATGAAAATGTCCACCATAGGCTCCAAGTATTTGGACATTTTGTCCCCAGTTGGTGGCACTGTTTTGGGAGGTTTTAGAAAGTGTAGCCTTGCTGGAGGAAGCACATCACTGGAGGAAGGCTTAGAGTTCTAGCTTTGTCAGATTTCCAGTCACTCTCTGCCTCCTGTGCCTGCTTAAAGATAGGAGTTTTATGCTGCTTCTGCTCTGGCCACCTCACCATGCCTCCCTGCCATGATGGACTCTAAATTCCTCTGGAACTTGGAACTGTAAACTCAAACTCTCCTTCCTTTAAGATTCCTTGGTCACAGTGTTCTATCACAGCAACAGAAAAGTAACTAATACAGTATCCAAAAGGATGTGGGAAGAAAGGAGAAAATAGAAGTTGAACATGTTCTTGGGCAGGTTTTCTGGAAAAGTGATAGTGTCACAGATAATGAACATGATAGGAAAAAGATGTTTGGTCAGAAGTTGAAATTTTATTTAAAGATGACTTAGAAGTACCCACAGGATATACATATCTATACATTGATGGGAATATCAACATGTGGTCAAGGAGAAGACAAAGATAAAAAGAAATCATGAATAAAATAGAAAACAAAAGCAATAGAAGTAATCAGCATAATCAAAAGATGACTTTTTGAGTCACACTCTCACTGTGTAACCTCTGGCTGGCCTGGACCTCACAGAGATAAATCTTTCTCTGTCTCAAATGCTGCAATTAAAAGCATGCACTACTATGACTGGCAAAAGGTGACTTTTTGAAAGACTGATTAAAAATAATAATTTGTGGAATATATAATCAAGAAAAACAAATGTAGGGGTGGAGAGATAGCTCAGCAGTTGAGCGCACTGGCTACTCTTGTAGAGGATGCAGGTTCAGTTCCCAGCATCTTCATGGTGGCTAACAATCTTCTGTAACTGCAGTTCCAGGGGACCCAACACCCCTTCTGACCTCTGTGTGCATTATAAGACATGGGTGCATGTTACATACATGCAGGCAATACACTTATACACATAAAGTAATAATAATAAAATACTTTTTTAAAAAAGAAAAGCAAATGTGATACAAATGAATAACATCAGATATAAAAAGAGGAAAACAACTAGAAATATAAATTGTGAGATCTTTATGAATACCTTCATATGAAAATATATGTGTGGTTTAAGATGACTGAGAAAAAGACCAAGTATATATGTATGTATGTGAGTGTTGGGGAGAGAGAGAGAGAGAGAGAGAGAGAGAGAGAGAGAGAGAGAGAAGGTAGAGAGATTATAAATACACTATACCCTTAGTCTGGGATTTTTTTTCTTATAATTAAAAAAATTATTCTTTTCCTATAGTTACCCCCACACACATATCCTTTTAGAGAAAGGCATAGAGAGAATTTATGTCTCTGTAAACTTTTGAATAACAAATTTTCTTTTTTAAAAAATATTTTATTATTTTTATTTTATGTGTATGTGTGTATTGCCTGCATGTAGGTAAGTGCACCCGTGTTGTGCAATGCCCTTAGAGGACAGAAGAGGCTGTCGGATCCCCTGGAACTAGAGTTACAGACAGTTGTTAGCTGCCATGTGGGTGCTGGGATTTGAACCCAGGTCTGTTTTTATTTTATGTATATGAGTCTTTTGCCTGCATATATGTAGGTATACCATGTATGTACAATGCCCACAGAAGCCATAAGAGGGCATCGGATCCTCTGGAATTGGAGTTGTGAACGGTTGTTAGCCACCATGTGCTCTTAACCACTGAGCCATCTTTCTAGCCTCATCTTTTCTTGTTGTCGTTTTTTTTGTTTCATTGTGTTTTGTTTGAGACAAGGTCTCTCTGTAGCACTGGCTAGCCTGGAACTCTCTATGTAGACCAGGCTGGTCTCAATCTTACAGAGACCTGCCTGCCTCTGGCTCCTGAGTACTGGGATTAAAGGTGTGTGCCACCATGCCAGGTTTAGCTCTATCATTAAATTTTTTTTTATAATTTGTGTGTGTGTGTGTGTGTCCATCCACATGCACATGTCATGTGTATACCAGAAGAAGGAGTTGGATTCCTTATTGCTGGAGTTATAAATAGTTATGAGCCACCAGACATGGGTGCTGGGAACTGAATTCAGGTCCTCTGGAAAAACAGCAAGCATTCTTAACTGCTGAGATATCTTCCCAGCCCCCAAAACAAATATTTCTTAAGCAGTATTCCAAGCTGCTAAATATAGCTGAAAAGACTGACAAATTGGATTATATTAAGAACTTCTGTTCAAAAATTTGGTAATATAAATTATTTACCTGCATACTTTTTCTTTACCCTGACTCATTCCTTACTGGTAGGCTCAATCCTTTTGGTATTTGAGTTACTGGTTCAACAGAAGCCAGGAAAATAACTTTGTAATATCAGAATATTATCCAACTACTTTTAAAAAGTACAGCATACAAAAATATTCAAACAATGAAAATGATAACTTAAAATTCAGATTTCCCTGTAAGGTAAAAGCCCCTTGTGGAATCACACATAAATGCTGCCCATTTAAGGACTTATTTTGTATTGAAAATGGCATCATCAATAAGAAAACATACTAAAATCATGAGGTATTACTACATCAAGCAGACTAGCAGGAAATATAAGTTCTAAAAATACTATGTGCTTGTAAGAATGTGGGATACTCTCTTACACTGTTGGTAGAATATACATGGGTACAACCACTTTGGAAAATTATTTTGTGCTCTCTAACAAAGTTGAAATTGTGAAAGCCTGAAATATTTAGTATATTCCCTACAGACACTCTTTTGTATTTATTCTAAAAGTATGCATATCAATATTTTTAACAATTGGAAAGAAAGAATTCTATCAAGAGAAGAATACTAGCCAGGCTAAGTGGCACACACACATCTGTAAGTCCCAGTACATGGGAGGCTGAACCACAAGGATTGCCACTGTAAGGCCAAACTGTGCTACATAGAAAGTTTGAGCCCAACTAGTTCTACATAGAAAGATGTGTAAATAACATGCATACTAAGAGCAGTAGTATGCTCTCATAGATCCAGGAATCACTTGAGGCCAGGAGTTTGAGAACAGTCTAGGCAACATAGTGAGAAACTCTTAAAAAAAAAAAAAAAGCACACAACTTTAATTCCAGCACTCAGGAGGCAGAGGCAGGCAGATCTCAGTGAGTTCAAAGCCAGCTGAATTCCAGGCCAGATGGGGCTACAGGGAGACCAAACAAACAAACCAAGATCAATGGCCAAGAGTGGTGGTACACACCTTTAACCTAGCACTCAGTAGAAAAAGGTAGGTGGATTTCTGTGAGTTAGAGGCCAGCCTGGTCCACATACCAAGTTCCAAGCCAACCATGGCTACATACTGAGACCCTGTCTCAAAACAAAAAAATAAACAAAAGTAGGATACAGCAGTGGGAACTAAAAAAAAAAAAAACCACCCATAATGAATGAAATCTCATTTTTGATATATACATCTGTTTTGGTTTTTGTTTTGTCTCCCTGAAGCCCCAGATGGCCTGGAACTCACTACGTAGACCAGGCTGGCCTTAATCTCACAGAGATCCTCCTGCCTCTGCCTCCCAAGTGCTGGGATTAAAAGTGTGCTTCACCAAACTCTGTCCTTTTAAAAACAGAGTAATGTATATCATTGATAGTAAAAATACAAAGAAGAACAAAGTAAGGGTTATCATAAAATTCAAAAAAATTTCAAAAGGTACCTAGCTTTAGAAGAAGGTGGAAGTCCGGTGAGGGAGTACACAGCAGCTTCCAGGGAACTGATAATGTCCTAAGACCTGACAAAGGGTATATGGAGGTTTTAATTAGTTTTAAAACTGTACATATTATTTTTATATATCTGTTTGATGAGTGATACAATTCAAAATGATTTTTCAAAATAAGGTAATGGTTCCATATATTTATATGTGTGAATGTATGTATAAATGTGAATACATTCCATGAAGGAAAACAATGGAAGTATTTAGTGGGAAAGTGTCAGTAGCACTTTGTGACTTATTAAATTCTCTCACATAATTGGATCACTTAGAGATGAACGTGAGACACAAAGTCTACCACAAAGTGCAGCTCCTTAATTTCCTTCCTCAGGCTGGCCTGCTTACATTTATTGGCAAAAGAGGAAGAAATTCTAATTTATTTATTTTTTCTTTTTGTTTTTTCAAGACATGGCCTCTTGTAGCCCAGGTTGGCCTCAAACTTATTATATACCTGAGGCTGGTCTTGAACTCCTGATCTTTCCACTTCACCCCCTGAATGTTGAGATTAGGAGCTTGTGCCATAATGCCGGGTTTTCTATTTCATTTTATTTTTCATTTTTTAAAAGATTTTTATGGGGCCAGGCATAGTGGTACATGCCTTTAATCGCAGCACTTGGGAGGCAGAGGCAGGTGGATCTCTGTGAGTTCGAAGCCAGCCTGGTCTACATAGTGAGTTCTAGGTCAGCTGGGGCTACAGAGAGACCCTGTCTCAAAAAGACCAAAAAAAAAGATTTTTTACTTATTTTATTTTTAATATTTATTTTTATTTTATGTGTATGAGTGTATTGCCTGCATGTAAGTGCACCATGTGCATGCAATGCCCACAGAGGCCAGAAGAGGGTGTCGGATCCCCTGGAACTGGAGTTACAGATGGTTGTTAGCCACCATGTGGGTTGGGAACTGAACCCAGGTCCTTGTTTGTTTTGGTCTTTTTGAGACAGGATCTCCCTGTAGACACAGATGTCCTGGATTCACTTTGGAGAGATCTGCCTGCCTCTGCTTCCCAAGTGCTGGGATTAAAGGTGTGTGTACATGTGTCTGAGTGCAGCAGCCTGTAGAGGTTAGAGACAATTGATCTGTTTAGAGTTGGAGATACAAGTGGTTGTGAGCCACATAATGTAGATGCTGGGAACCAAACTCAGGTCTTCTGCAAGAACAGTATACATCTTAACCACTGAGCCATCTCCCTAGCCCTTTTTAAAAATTTCTTAAAGATAAAAATAAAATTAAGGGGCAGGAGAGATGGCTCAGTGTTTAAGAGCACTGGCTGCTCTTGCAGAGCAGTTCCAGGGGATCAGATGCCCTCTTCTAACCTCCAAGGGCACTGTATGACACAGATGTACTTACGTACATGCAGGCAATACACTCATACACATAAAATAAAAATAATAAAATATTTAGAAAACAATACAATTAAAACATTCTTATTTTCTTAATCATCATCATTATTATCGTTATTATTTTAGCTTTTCTATATTAGCTGTATCTTCCTTGAGTGGAATCAGAAGAAAAAACTAGTTATTTTTATGTATCATATTGTGAAAATATCAAAACAAACAAAAAACCCTGTTTTTTGGTTACACTGAGACTAGGAGCTATCTTTCAATATACTAAAACATAGCACACTTAAAGATTTAGAAGATACTTTTAGAAACTACCACTACAGTCATCTTTTCTGAAAGA